ATAACATTATACACTTATATATATATATATATATACTTATTATTTTTATTATATTGACCTTGCAGCTGTGCCTAGCTAACAACACAGAAGTTACAATGATGTGGCACAAGTGCTCTCATGTTACCATATCCAATAATATAAAACTGACCTTTAGTCTTTACAAAGTGACCTGTCTTGGCTGTATTTTAGTAGACTGGTATTTTGTAAAATACAGTCACATTTCCATTAATATACATTATATATGTATATAGATTATTACTATTTAAAAATAAGTTCTAAAACTTAATTTTCTTAAAACATAGAGCAGTAAATAAAGAAGTATAGCAAACAATTATCTCTTCTAGTTACAATCTTTGTACTCGGTTTCTGCTTGATGTAGGTTGCTAAGACTTTTAAAATTTTGCACGTGGAGGATATGAAAAGAAATACTTTTTTTTTAGGTTTTATATATATACAGTTGAATAACCAAAAAATTATAACTTACTATATCGATACCATAGAATTCCACTATAATTTATGAAGCTTGGTAACTAAGCTGTTTTTGGGTCTAAAAAAATATGAAATTTCGAGTAGACTAAAGACGCAACCTACCTCCTTGAAATCTTGGTTCAAAAGAACGAAATGGCATCTTAACACATGAAAATGGCTAAGAAAGCCACTACGGGCCATTCTGAGCTTTCAATTGGTTATTCACATGTCATATATTGAAATAAGTATATATATAAGGGACCATTTCCAAAAATGGAAAAAGATGAGCATGCCACTATGTTTGATTCAGTACATGAGAGAGATCTCAGAAAGTAGAAAAGATATGAGGTTCTTTTTTTATATTCTAGTTTGTCGATATTGGTAATTTGAGTTCCTAATTTGTACAAAACTATAGACTTAGTATTTTGGCATCACAAACATCTAATTTGAACCAGTGCTGCATTCAACATACCATGTGACACACAAAGCTGATGTTTAACAGTGTTTTTTCATATTTGCTTTTAAATTAAGAACTTAAATAATATATAATACTAAAACTTGAATTATAATCTACAGTTTGATAACAAACTTATTGACATAGATTCATGAAATAGTAGTTCAATAAAGTTTTGAATGCGAGTCAATGCGATGACATGGCCTTTGACCTGTGGCCCATCTGGAGAGGGTTAAATGAGTGAAAGAGCAAGTTAGGTGACAAGATATGATACACAGATACACATTAAAATTCTATATGCATTGTAGAAATTATTTATTATTTTCATTAATAAGAAATATATTAAGATGCTTTATTTTGCATTATTACACAATTGACTCTACCCGAGTGCTCGTGTCCCCTCCAAGAGATCACTTGCACCACCCCCTGAGGGTGAGCACCCTACATTTTGGAAAATACTAATCTAGACCAAATTAACTGTTCACAAGTAAATAATACTTACCATAAAAACGTTTTACTTACCCTAACTCTGCCTCATTCATAATATAGCGGATACAAATAAGTAGGCCATACATTGGTCCAGTGGCTGCAGCTGTTAACAAGCTACTGCAAGCCACTTCAACTTCTTCTTGTAGCTTTGCAATGAGAAGTCTTAAAACAGAAAAACAAATACTTCTTTTATTAGTATACACGACAGCAGGCAATGATGGAGACACAGGACAAACAGTTCTTTCCAGTTCTTCTGCTACTGTCTTGGTTAATGGATGGTTTACCAACAAAGCTAACAAATATGCTGCTGAAACAGGATCAGGTGGCTTGCTGCTCCTTGCCAGGCTTAAAGATTGTTGTAGAACTTCTTCTACTTTACATTTTTCCTAAACCAAAACAACAGTACCATTGAAAGATAAAAATACTGTACAACATATAGACTACATTTATCCTGCAATTCTATATTAATGTTTCTTTTTATAATCAACAGAAAACTACCACATTTCTGACTGCAAGAAACATCTATTGAAACATCTATAAAGACAGATACAATATTGCAGCCATGTACTTTACACCACAATATCTAGCAATAATCAACAACATAAAAATAATTTTATACAGAAAATGTACAAATTATGTTTCAACTTATATCACACTACTGTTGTCTGAATTTATCTCATATAATGCTAAAATGTTAAGAACAAATTTTGTGTATTGAAGGTTTTCATCAGTAAAGATGAATTCTGACTGATAATATTTGAAAACTAGTAATTTAAATCAGTAATATTACACAACAATTTTTCTAATCTTTTTTAAAACAAACAACTAAAACATTGTTAGGTACAGACTATGTAATCTTACGAGCACACCACTAAACATAACTAAAAGTCACTACTGTTCAGCTGCACATACATCCAGCTCTACGCTATGATCCCAATATGAACTTTCTACCCACCTCTACTGAAAATGAAATTTGAAAGACTAGATCTTGATGGAATTATAGAGGTAAAAACACACATTAACCTTCAGTTTGATGGTTAGATTAACCTATAAGTTGAACCAGATATAAAATTCACAATTATTACACCATCACAAGTTATTTACAAGACACTCAATACAGACACAGAGGCACACAGAGAATACAAACTGACAAAATATTTAAGGTCACGGAAGAAAATGGTGTTATAACAAATCAATGTTACCAAAATAACAATGTGAGCCTGGCAGTTACTTCAATAAAATTATTCTATATCATTCTGTGGCTGTATTGCTCACATCTTGAACCTTCTTACAAACAACATCATGAAAAAGAGAACATTCTCCAGAAAGAATCCA